AGGTTAGGTTTGGTTATGTTAGCTTTAAGTTCGATTAGATTAGAGTTAAGGTGTTTTACCATCAGGTGAAACAAGCTTGGGTGTCTAATCTTCAGGTGACCCAGATTATGGAATATCAAAAAATACTCTTCCAATTTAAGAAAGATTAACATAATTACTAAATATCGTAATATGTAAGATTATTTAGGACGTTGGTGTATTTCGTACGATGTAAGATTATCCACAAGGTACAATTATGTAAGATTATATTATACGCTTGTGCATTATTACGTTAGATTAGATGTAAGCTTCCGGAAGATTAAGTGGGATTTGGTAAGATTAGGTGAGGCGGAGTAAAATTAGTATATTACCCTAAAAAAAATAAAAAAAACAAGAAAAAACAACAATAGAATGGAATTATTGATAAAATTACAGAAAAAAATACGGACTATGATTATGTTGGCGCCCCTAACACTTGTTATGTTGGCACCCCTGATACTTATGTTCGCATCCCTGACACTTATGATGGCACCCCTGGCACTTATGTTGGCACCTCTGACAGTTATGTTGACACCCCTGGCACTTCTGTTAGCACCCCTGACATTTATGTTGGCACCCTTGACACTTATATTGAAACCATGACACTTATGTTGGCACCAATGTGACACTTATGATGGCACCCCTGGCACTTATGTTGGCACCTCTGACAGTTATGTTGACACCCCTGGCACTTCTGTTAGCACCCCTGACATTTATGTTGGCACCCTTGGAATTTATGTTGGCACCCCTGACACTTATGTTGGCACCCCTGGCACTTATGTTGGCACCTTTGACACTTATGTTGGCACCCCTGGCACTAATATTGGCACCTCTGACACTTATGTTGGCACCCCTGGCACTTATGTTGGCACCCCTGGCACTATGTTGGTACCCCTGGCACTAATATTGGCACCTCTGACACTTATGTTGGCACCCCTGGCACTTATGCTAGAACGCCTGACACATGCTTGTTCATGACATACTGCAGTAGTTCCTCGACCGTCGTAACAGGCAATTATAAAACACTCTTAACAGCCAATTAAAAGTAGCAACTCCATTAGACACACTATTGTTCCTTCACCATTATTTTCTAAAATTTTTCCTATTATTTTTGTTTGGAAGAAAGTAAACAACACACATACATCACCGAGTTGTTTTACGCTGAAGAAGTTTCTAATAGCGAAAAGCGGGGATGATAAGGATGTAAATCCTCTCTCTTTGTGAAGGGATTTACGACCATCCGAGTGAACTTCTCTTAGTTAGTTAACACACTTTCTATTCATAGTCCACTCACAAAATTTTATGAGGTGGTACAGTACGTGTTTTTTCGGGGGGGGGGAGGGGGGAGGAGGGATTGTGAGGTGTCTACAACTAAAGCTGTCATCTGTCATCCCTATTTGTAGTCGTAGTAGTAGTAGAGGGGAAGCTGCCATTCACGCCATGAGAACGATATTTGAGCAGCGTGATTGTGAGGCCGTTCTCCTGGTGGACGCTTCAAACGCATTCAACATACTAAACAGCAAGGCCGCACTCCACAACATCAAGATCAAGTGTACAGGCTTTGCAGTGTATGTTGAAAATTCCTATAGGAATCCATCAGACCTCTATATAGCAACCAACAAAGCTCGAAGAGGTGATACCATCATACAGTCAACCGAGGGAACAACGCAGGAGACCCCGTTGCAATGGCAATGTACGCAATAGGCCTATCAGTGCTCCAACACAATAAAATTTGAAACAACTGAAGTCAAGCAAGTGGCGTACGCTGATGACCTTACAGGAGCAGGAAAAGTAGAGGACATTAAAATGTGGTGGGACCTGGTAACATGCCGGGGCCCACAAATAGGGTACTACCCAAACGCCAGCAAGTCCTTCCTCATTGTGAAGCCAGAACATTATGAACGGGCAATGGAAGTGTTCGGTGGAAGTGAGGTCAAAATAACAAAGGATGGCCAAAGACACCTAGGCGCAGTAATCGGCACGACGGACTTCAAGGCCAAGTACGTAACGGGAAAGGTGAATGAGTAGGTTAGAGAAATCCAAGCTCTGTCTGAGATTGCTAACACAGAACCACATGCGGCTTTTGCGGCATTCACCCATGTTGTCAAGTATCGCTGGAACTACCTGATGCGCACCATCCCTGATATCGGAACCCTCCTCCACCCTCTGGAAGAACCTATCAGCGTCAATTTCATTCCCAATTTAGTGAAACACCCTCACTTAACTCTAGCAGAAAGATCACTCCTTGCACTATCACCGAGACTGGGAGGAATGGGATTGACCAATCCAGAGGAGATTGGTGCCACCGAACATCAAAACTCAGTTAAGCTCACGGCAGCCCTCACGGACCACATAATAGCTCAGAACTCAACAGGGAAGGTTGATACCAGTGAAGTAAACAAGATTAGAAGGTCCATTACGACAGAACGACAGCACGGCCAAAGTGATAAGTTGCAGCAACTGTTGCTGCAAGTACCAGAGAATTTGAAAAAAAAAGTAGCTGTAGTACAGGAGGTGGGCGCCTCGAACTGGTTAACTATGTTACCGATAAGGGCAAATGGTTTCAGTCTCAATAAACAAGAATTTACAGATGCCATTGCTCTAAGGTACGGTAGGCCAGTGGAAGGTTTGCCCTCCCAATGCGTGCGTGCCTCTTCCTATGACATCGATCACGCCATGGTGTGCAAGAAAGGGGGCTTCATATGCATGAGGCATGACGAAGTAAGGGACCTCACAGCAAATATATTGAAGGAAATCTGCCGTGTTGTCAGGGTAGAACCGACCCTCCTTCCATTGGACAGTGAGATTTTCCAACATTGGACTTCAAACACATCCAACGAAGCCCGTGTGGACGTCATTGCTCGAGGATTCTGGACGCGGGGACTGCGAGCCTTCTTCGACATCAGGATAACTTATACCATGGCCACATGTCACCGTAACTTAGCTCTCAATGCTGCACAGAGGAGGAACGAGAACGACAAGATAAGGGCATACGGGGAGAGAATTCAAAACGTTCATCAAGGCAGCTTCACTTCTCTAGTGTTCACAACCTCTGGTGGGATGGGACCAAGTGCATGATGCTTCTATGCCATACTCGCAGAGGTGATATACGAAGAGCAACAGCAGCCCAGAAATTTTGTTACAGCCTGGATGAGATGTCGACTGTCCTTCTCTCTCCTTCGGTCGGCTTTGCTGTGCCTCAGGGAAACGAGAGCATCGGCCCCAAAGCCGACAACAGTTAACACAAGTACAGAAGAATGGAGGAAACTGCAGCGGACCTATATTAGTGTTATCAGCAAATTTACTAATGTTGCTGCCTACGCTGATATCTATGTCGCTTATGTATATAATAACAATAATGGTCCAAGTACTGAGCCTGGCGGAACTCCACTAGTGACGTTGCTCCAATGGGATTTAGTGCCGTTAATGCTCACTTGCTGTTTCCTGTCCTATAACCACGCCCTAATCCATTTTAGAATATCACCGTCGATTAGTTCTATCCAAATTGTTTGTGTATTCCTCTCAGTTTTTATTTCCTTATTTATTTCACACTTCAGATTATCCCTGACATAGATTGCTACTCCGCCTCCTTTCCTAATCTGCCTATCGGTATTTGTAATCTGCAATTTGGTATTCGACAGGTAACTCACGTGAGTCTAAGTTTATCCATGTTTCGGTGAATGCTATTATATCGATTTTTTCGGTACATACCAAGGCCCTGATATCATCCATTTTGTTTCTTATACTTCTACTATTCGCGTAGTAGACATTTAAGTTAGTCGTGTTCTGAGTCCTCTCTTTGTCGCGTTTAGGTTTTAACTCCCTGCCTAATTAGTTTTGTCATAATTCCTCGCACTATTTCCCTGTAACCTTTCACTTTGTTTACCCGCTCCCACTGCAGTCTCCTCCACTCCCGTGCTCATATGTTCCCCTAGCAGATATTGACTATGAGGCTACAGTCACTGAATGCCGCATGGATCTGCGGCTCAACTAACTCAATGTAGCTAGGATAGCTACTTATGTATTAGGATATTTAATATTAAGGTAATAAAATGGTGGCGAAGGTATGGCTATTGGTGGAGGCTGGAGGCCATTAAAAAAATAATATAAATAATTAAATAGTAGTAGTAGTAGTAGTAGTTCAGGTATGTTCGTATATAAATGCCAAGAACGTTTTAGTTACAGCAACGAGAGAGAAGAAAAAGTGGCACTCAACAGATCAATGCCGTGGACGTGTCATCACAGACACTCACGTCCGCAACGCAATTTGTTACGTCTGCAACATGATTTGTCACCAACCTGTTGCATGAAGTATTTCCTTTATTACCTGGAAGTATGAAGAATATTGATTTGGAAGAGAAGGCTGAAATATTTTATGACAAGCCGCTAGTTATTTTTAAACTAATGTCACTCCACTAATTTGGATGTACCGTCTTGAAAACCTTTAAAAAATTGTGTAACAAACGAATGAAAAAAACCTTGCAGCACATTTTTAATATATAAGTGAAATTACAAGAGAATTTTGCCTACTCGTTTTGGTGTTTTATGAGTGTCAACACTAGTAAGCGGCACAAACACACAGCTATCATGTCAAAGTTGCTATTTCTTAAACGCCATTTCTAGCAAACTTCAGACCAAACAAGAGAAGTTATCAGATAAAGACAACTTCTAAATTCTGGCATTACAAGGTCCTGTCTTTAATAAAACACTATAATAAATGACCAGTTCTTACCATTATCTTTCGGGGAGGAGGATGACGTTAATGCAGAGGGCCCGTAAAATATATGGGCCGTTTGGGTTTATAACTCGTGTGTTAATAAAGACCAGAAAGATGATGAAGGATATTGGGTGAGTAAGTCTGGACCGGGATGAACCACTGCCTCGTACAGTAGAGTAATGAGCAACTGTCTACAGAAAGGAGTAAAGGACATCTTCCCACTCCTACTGAGGACCTATGAGGACCTCCCACTCCTACTGAGGACCTATGAGGACCTAAGAGGACCTCGTACTCCTACTGAGGACCTATGAGGACCTCCCACTCCTACTGAGGACCTAAGAGGACCTCGTACTCCTACTGAGGACCTATGAGGACCTCGTACTCCTACTGAGGACCTATGAGGACCTCGTACTCCTACTGAGAACCTATGAGGACCTCCCACTCCTACTGAGGACCTATGAGGACCTCGTACTCCTACTGAGGACCTATGAGGACCTCCCACTCCTACTGAGGACCTATGAGGACCTCCCACTCCTACTGAGAACCTATGAGGACCTCCCACTCCTACTGAGGACCTATGAGGACCTCGTACTCCTACTGAGGACCTATGAGGACCTCATACCCTGAGCCATTGCCGAATGTCAGTCACCTGCACCCATAATCAATATCACTTGTACAATACTATATAACGTTATCACCTTCATCACTAAATACTGTACAGCATAAAGGAGCCAACAGGAATCTTGATAAGTGAAACATCAATACTTAAATTATGTAAAAAAAATGGGAAGGTAAAAATTAAGCTAAATTATTGTTGTATAAAAAAGCGTCAGGTATTTTCTATTTTCTTCTTTACTCAATTACGCGTCAATGAATTTCACTGAAAAAAAGGCGAAATTCACTTATATTCGGGCAGGAGAGACGGAGGATTTTTTATTTATTTATTTATTTTTTTAGATAAATGTATTTGTCGCTCAGCGGGTCACTTTTACCCTCTCCTTCTTACTGCATGTTGTCCTGGCACCTGTATGGGAAGTGGTCAGGTGTGTAGATTATAACTGTAAGTAAGGTTGGGTTGGGTTGGGTTGGGTTGGGTTGGGTTAGGTACATTAACATCACCGACGAAGGACGAGCTAAGGGACATTTATACAGTATTAATTAAAGAACGAGACATATGAAGAAAATATTTTTGTTTACATTTTCCAAATTTTTGTTTTGGTTATTTCATCTTTCGTTTAGTGAAGATTTATCCAATGAAAACCGTATCTTCACTACGTCCTCACACAGAAGCAATACCAGGATGTACTGTAGGGTATATTGGCCTTCTGTCACACACTTAGCTGTATAGGCGCAGTAATAACATCATCATCTTATAGTGTAAACAGACCGTGGCAACAGTGTTCTTGGTGATCTATGGAGGACAAGAACAACTCTAACCTTTAAAATAAGTCAAACATCGCTAACTGGAGGAGATGGGGGGGCAGGGAATGGGAGGAGAGGGAGAAGTGGAGAGTGGCACAGGAGGAGGAGGTGAATGGGATGTGAGAGAGTGAGGGGTATGTGGGAAGGGGAGGGGTGAGATGACGTTGGGAAAGGGGAGGGGGGTGGAGGGAAATGGGAAGGGAGAGTGGGAGGGTAGACCAGCATCCGCCAATAGCGTCGGCGGAATATGAAATAGGTCCGTCAAAACACCCCTATATGGGACAGGGTAGGCTGTCTAGTGCCTGTACCAACAGACAATAACTAACCCATGACACAACCGTAAAATACTATTAGCTTAGCTAACCCGTAGCAAGGCGGTCAGCCCGCCCTCTCCTACCTCCTCCTAAATTTCCCCAATTTCCGAACTATATCTTCCTTCCTCCACTCCTACTCTTCTTTCACCCCTTCTTTCTCTACAAAAAAAATGGGTAAATACACCACGAGGCTCTCTCTTTCTCTCTCTGGGTTAGATCAGCTCAACTCTCTACAAATTTCGGTGGACCAACACAGCAACATTACCCCATAAGTTATTGTACCCCAACCTAGAGGCCCCACTCTTACATGTGTTCCACCACCTCACACACTGCCGGTATTCATCTACCAGAACACTGACAATCGCCTCATAACCCGTGAGACCTCACAATGATTTCGCAACGATAATGACGAATTTTCAACATCTTATTCGATTCCACGGGGTAAGGTGACTCATTGGAAACAGGGCTCACCTCTTTTCCTAGGAGTTGCTTGTTCGATCCCCGCAGGGCATTACCAGTTCAGGCAGTATGGAAATATATAATGATCTATAGTTGGGTGAGAGGAGGTAATCGAGTACAGTGTCGACCACGCCGCCACCTTGCGTACCGGAGACTTAGTATACACCTCGATGTATCCTCACCCTTCCTATCGGGCCGTCAAGCACCATAAGACCCCTTTCATTCCTATTCCAACAGGTTCTGAAAAGGTGAAAGAAGTGGACCGGCGTTTTAATCACAATCAAACATTCCTTATAAGGCCTCAGTACACCTCAAAGACAGGTTTAACGACATCACTACAGGGAAAGTTTTGTAATAACATAAAATGGCAAAACGTTTTCTGTGAATCTAGTGTACATCACGCCCGCCGCCCTGTCATCACGCGGCCGCCACCATGTAGTAGTACGTTCATATGACCTGTGTAGTGTTATCGTGGTCACATCTCTTAATTAAAGAGACACAACCTGTATATATATATATAAATCACTTTGGGTAATAACAGTAATGCAAATATTATTATACTTGTTATCTGTGTAACATATTACATGTAACAATTACACGTGTGGTTAAATTGTTGTTATTGTTATTAATGAAAGCAATTCTGATGGGTAGGAATATGTTCAGCTGTGGAAGAATAACAACATATTACAGTAGTGTGGTACATCACCCTCGTATGTGTTGAGCTGCAGTTCAGAAACTTAATAATATTATTTCCAGAACTTATTTTCTCAAGGTTAGGTTAGGTTAGGTTAGGTTAGGTTAGGTTTGGTTAGGTTTGGTTATGTTAGGTTTCAGGATCAGGTACACAAGTGTTTAATAAACCAGAGAAAACGTGAGTTCCCAAGGGGCAGCGCGGGCATAGCACATTGAATACTAAACCATCTCTACACGAGGAGGTAGCGTGGCCGGAACTGTACTTGACAGTCTTCACTTGCCCAACTGTAAAGGCTGCTACCCATTCACGGCTGGGTTAAGTGGGCATAACCTGGGTGCGAACCAGTGACCCTAAGACAGGAAGCGAGTACTGTGTCAACTGGGCCGCGGCGCCTTGTCATAGAACTTTACATGCAATTTTTCCTTTCCTCTATCACAACAGTCACTCGAGGCAGAAAGGGACAGTTCATGATGCCAGTTTAACAAGCTGTGTGTGTCGGCTGCCCGCTTTACCCCGCCACTAACAGCAAGAGAAACACTTCAAACTGCATAAAACTAAAGCTTAAAAAGGAACGCAAACCTTCATAGAAACTATTCAAGTGTCAGGAAACTGTTTAAGCTTTAATGAAAGTGTTCCAGCTTCACAGATATTGCTCAGAATATGAGAGCTGATACCAAGAAACTGAAAATATTGTAGTAGGAGCATTAAGGCTCGGCTTCACTACAAGTAACTTAGATCAGTCAGGCTCTACAACGCAAAATAGAGGAAGATTTTAATAAAGCAAATTTCATAGCAGCGGACCACCAGCATACCACCATTATATCACCAGCTTACACGAGTTTACACCAACTTTGTTTACCACAGCTGTTAACTTTTATAATAATTCAATGAAACAGAAAACTCCACTTTTAAGGGAATAGAGTAAAATTTTATTATTTTATTTTTTTGTTTTTTGTTTACAATATATGAACATTGCTCATATGTAAACACACCAATACTACAAACGTTGAGGTAAATGTACCAATAAAACGATCGGTAAACAATTCTTACGAGATACAAAATCGATGAACAATACGATGAAGCAAGCACCACGGTGAAGCACTACAATGAAGCACTACGAGGGATAGAGACGGTCAACTTTAAGAAATAGTTGAAGCTCGAATGAATCTGAAAAATAATATCTGTTGTTTGTGTTCAGTTTCATGATATTCTCAATGTAATGGTTCAGTAGACAATTATTTATATTTTAAGTTGAAAAAGAACATGGAAATAATAAAGAAAATTAAAAGACTACCACGCATACATACATACATACATACATACATACATACATACATACATACATACATACATACATACATACATACATACATACATGCATACATACATGCATACAAACAGGTAGTCACTCGTAAAATATCTATATATTTTTACACTGGTCTAGCATGTATAATTAGACACTACAGGTACACAGAGAGCGGTAGCCATTATAAGCAAAATTTTCTCATCGGGTTCCTTCAATACAATCTCTCAACCACTTATTTACCTGGAAAGAATCTGTAATGTACACCAGGGCGACAGTCTTCCTGGTAAGTGTGTGTGTGTGTGTGTGTGTGTGTGTGTGTGTAAAACGCCAGTTCCCAGAAGTGGTCAATATATGCTCCCAGGTGGACACATACGGTGCTCACTCTCAGGACAGCACACACAGTTCTGGGTCACCTATACTGTATACTGTATATCCTTTAACTAATATTGTCTCTGCTGTTTCAATAGATAACCTGGAGATTAGGCAAAATGAGGTGCCTAATCTTCATGTGATCTGTGTCAGTATTTACAAAGTTTATTTTCATTCATGTAGCCCACTAGCTTGTTGTTTGGTGACCAGTGTTTGTGTCGTAAGTTATGGATCACGAACATTATTTATCTGATAAAAGGCCACTGAAATCTCATCAGAGGGGGACGCGAGTGCTTCACTTTGACCTGTCCTCGAGCCTGTGATCCCTTCATACACAAAATGCCTCTGGCTAAACGTATATGATCATAGGTATCTTCTAACTTGTATATGTTGTTTATATTCAAACTTAGCGAAAAGCTCATCATTAGGAGTGAATTTTGAGTTACTAACAATGTATCGTAAATTGTCAGGACAACACCGACCATTTGGATATAATTCTTTAAAAAACAAACAAATTTACTTAATTGCTCAGAGCACGCATGCACAAACCACAACACAACACAACACAACACAACACACACACACACACACACACACACACAGAGAACAGCCAGGGCAGCAGAGAACATGAATATTATACAAGTTTCACCTCACACCTCCATCAACACACCACCACCCATCACTCCTCCCCCGGACTCAAAGCTTTCATATGTTTGCCAGTCATCTAAAAACTCTCTATGTAATCTTCTCAATTTCGTCAGTAAGGTGGTGGAGTGAGGCCAGGGCTGAGGAGGTAAGAGGGTCAAGTATACTCCAGCACCAGCGGGAATTACTCCAGCACCAGCGGGAATTACTCCAGCACCGGCGGGAATTACTCCAGAACCAGCGGGAATTACTCCAGCACCGGCGGGAATTACTCCAGCACCGGCGGGAATTACTCCAGCACCGGCGGGAATTACTCCAGCACCGGCGGGAATTACTCCAGCACCGGCGGGAATCTTGTTTTCAGGTGGTAGACTGTATGAGGCCC